CCCCGCTGTGACTCACGACTGGCGCTACCCCTAATCGTCGGCACCCAGGTACCCCTAGACAGAGCACCTTCGTCGGACCTTTTGGAACGTGCCGCCGCAGGCGTAGCTGGCGCAGGGGCGTACCCTGTGCGCTCGAAAGCCATCGCCTTCTTGGCAATGGAATTGCTGCGACTAGGCGGGCGTCTCCGTTCCTCCACAGGGTCCTGAGGTTGCTGCTTGGGCTCAGATCCTTGTGCTGGGGTTGCGCCAATCGGTGATCTCGGCGTTTTAGAGCGAGGCGCCTCCATCTGCACATCTGGCCCAGGATCCTCAAAGCGTGCTTTCGGTCTCATTTCCGAAGACGACTTCGGTGCTGGAGTTTCACTCTTAGCCTTCGATTGGAGTGGGGGCGGGGGCTTCTTAGCCCCCTTCATGTAAAGAGTCCATCAGCATCTGGCGAGTTGCCTCGCGTGTGCGTTCTTCTGCTATTCGCATACGTTCTGCATCCGCCGCAACCCGCTGGGCCTTCTGGTCATCCTTGGCTGTCGGTTCTGGCTGTTGGGGCTGGCTGGAAACGCCGGGCGAGTTTCCTCGCATTCCAGGAAGGTTAAAGAGCGCGTCTTCTTCTTCCTGGGTCATGGGCACCAGTCCCCTTGGAGCCGGAGGAGGCTCATCCTCTTCGTCTTTCGGCTCCATGTGACCCAGGATCCCGAGACGACGATTGATCTCTGCGATCTCGCCCTGTGTCATCGGGATCAGTGGCGGACGGCCCTCCTTATGAGGGGTACGGCCCCTGTTTGGGCTCAAACCGTCATTGTTTCCTACGGGGCACCCTGGCCTGTGGTTCTGGAACGGCTCGGAACATGGCCCGCAAACTGCCTGAGGCCTATACAGCTTGCGAGCCGCGATGATGTTTCGCAGTTGCGTCCGCACTTCTTCATTTTCAGGGCGGCGGATGTTTGTTGCAAGCTAATAGCCTCCGCGGATGGCCTTACCCTGAGCGTCCCTATAGGCAGGGTTGCCTTGCCGAAGGCTGAGTGTTCCCCTTTTCGGCGTCTTGGGTCATTATAAGGAAGTAGTTCACCTCCTCGCCTGAGAGCGTGTTCCTTTGGGCCAGCTTGCCTCCACTCACGAGGAAGCCGAGCCTGTGGATGTGGCTCTCCTCTGACGCGCGGATGGGAACGAGACCTTCCAGCATTCTCATCTGAAGAGGCTGCCGAAGCAGCCTGAGTGGAAGCCGGCGGAGGCGCCTGCGGGGGCTCCTGTGCGATCCCAGGTGGATCGGCTAATAGAGGCGGGTTTCCCTGCTGGCTGGAGCCCGGCGCAAATGGCGCTTGTGCCGATGGTGATGGTGCATCAGGCTCGTCAGGATCAAAGTCCACCTCTTCCTCACCGGTGACCTCCATCATGAAGATTGTGGCTTCATCTTCGCATAGCCCGCAACCATCGCCCTTTCTTCTTCTGATGTAAAACTGCCAATGATGATGGCCATTGGAGCAGCCGGGACGGGCAGGTTTCCCTGCATAGCCGGCGTCTGTGCGTCGCTCGGCTGTCCCGGGGTAGGCGGCCCGGTTGTCGGCTCAGGCTCGTTGCCGAGCACAGGCTGCCCATCAATGTTGCGCATGGCAGTATGATTTGGCCACAGTCCCGCCGCCTGGAGGCCCCGTCCTGGCGGAGGAAGAGCCTGGCCGCGCATGGCGATGGCCCTTTCAAGGGCCTCGCGCCATCTCCCTCGGGAGTACCACGCATGCCTCTGCACGTCCTTAGGGTGCACGCTGTCGATAAGAGTCAAGGCTGCCAACACTAGCTCCGAGTCGTCGCACGCGTCTGTGTCATGCAGCATCATATTACCAGCCTCGATGCTCTCCTGACTCTCAGGATGGGCTATGGTCAAAATCTCGTGCGTCCTCATGAGGGTCTGCAGTAGTGCGCGTGGCCCGTACTCGCCCGGCGCAAGCGAACCAGGGGGAATATATGGGTTCCCTGGTGTGCCCGGAACAAATTCTTGAGACTCCATTACTATAAGTTCAGCGTAGTTTCGGGGATAGGTAGGCCCGTTTCCAGGCGGGAGGTCGGGTGGAGGTTGGAGGTTACGGTTAACCTCTGAAGGCGAGGCCTCTACAGTGACGTCCTCGTCACTGCTCTCGCAGGCCATGATGTTGCCTGGGTTCCCGAACATCCAGTCGAAGAAAAATAAAGGCTTGTTTCCCAGCGTTCCGTGTTCCACGGGAGTAAGCTCGTTGTTGCCAACAACGAACCTGCGGACGTACTCGAGGTAGTACGCGTACAATCCATGACCATACGCCTCGAGCTCGTCGACGTTGTCCATGCAACTGACCCAAGTGTAAAATATCTGTTCCATGGCCTCAGAATCCTGGAGGCTCAGATATTCGATGAATGGTTCACTTGAGCCAAAATAGACTTCGGTCGATCTGCCCTTTCCATTTCCCTTCGCTGGACAATCTCTCACAAGATGGTCGGTACTATCACACTCATAGCACTTTGGAACCTGGCCGTCTCTACCTCGCGGGTTTCCCCGCCTACCTTTGCCTTTTCCTGGGGTCTCTCTACGGCCTTTGCCACGGCCCTTTCCCCCGAAGAATATCTCATCATACTGTTCATCTGAAAGCCTCTGGAGGAATGCCGTGATGTCTCGTCCATTCAACCTCCGACGACCTCGTTTGCCTTTACCTTTTCCCTTGAAGCTCCTCCGCATCCTCCTCCTAACACGACGCACTGGTTTTCGTGCGACCCTCCTCCACCTCCGTTTAGCTTGTTGTAATAACCAAAACAAGTGTTCAGCACGCTGGTTGTCAATTTCCATATTCATAATATCTGACCAATCTAAAGCTTCAACACCGTCGGATGATACAGTATCTGTGTCGGTGCCGGAGTCGAAATCATCGTCTCCCAAGTAGGTGGACACACCGTCGGTAAGGGGGTTTGATTCGCCCCATAAAGAGCGGTGTGGTTGAGGTTCTCTGGATGGAGGGCTGGTTGCCCAGCTTGGTTGTGGTCGATCCCCTGCTAGTAGAGCAGTAGATTCTCCGGGATCATCGGCCCATATGCTTGAGGGCCCGTTTCCAGGCTGGGCTTCAGTGGTTAAGGTAGTGTAGAAATTCCCACTACCAGATCCCCCATCCCCTTCCAAACACAGATCCTATATCACCAGGAGATCGTTTTGATAGGTGACCTATCGAACGCATCCTCTCCAGCAACTCATCATACTGTTGTTGTGTTCGGGGCATTTGATGATTGAGCGGCTGTAAGAGTTGCATGGCTCGCTGGTTGCCGACGCCTAAGGCGCGGAACAGGATCGTGGTTAGTAGTTGGAAGTTGGGAAGGTCAGATCCCACCGACTGTGCCTCAAGCCGGGCCATTTCGAATCGGGTAAGAGTGACATCGATTCGTTCTCCGTGAGGCACATGGAAGTCGATGAGCTGTGTGCCGGAAGTGAGCTGGCGCTCATCTTGCAGGCGCTCGAACTTAATGCTTAGGAGGAACATGATGTAGGTCACTGGGTCGGTGTGGACCCCATCGATGTCAGCGCCATAGTTTATTATGTCAGGTGGTACCCTCATGGCGAGTGTCCTCGCTAGGCCACCCAGGCCGCGTTGTATGGCGGCCGCTTGGGCCTGTGGCGTCATACGTCCGCTTGTGACGTTGAGCCACGCGTTGACATCAGAAACGTACCCACGGAAAATTTACGTTGCCTTGAGGGTCCCAGCATGGGCCATGTGTTTGCCCATCGGTGCTGTTTTCTCCGCGGCGCATGTATCCGATTGCTGCCCCCAGCGCGAACCATATGATAGCGAAGATGACCAGCCCAAGGCTGTGTAGATAGGGGTGGTTATTAGGCGCGTTGCCGCGCTGGGGTAGCGCCTTGTCGAATCGTCGAGGCGCTCTATCTGGCGGATCTCTCCGCCCCTGCTTCAAGTACTGTGCTTGTGGCTCGTTGCCGAGCGGTTGGTAGTAGCGCAATGGTGAAGCGTATATGGTACCAATGTTGTTGTCTAGACGTCGTAACTCTGGTGTTGTTTCTTGCTCTTGGATAGATCCTCGTAAAAGTACTGGGAGTGGTGGCGCAGGGTTGTATGTGGTCACGAGGATCGTGCCGAAGAGTATGAGGATGAGAAGAGCAAGTGCTGACCACACGAGAGTGCGGCCAGCTCCGCTACCAAGTCGAAAGTGAGCCTGGTAGGTCAAATAGCATCCGTCTCCATGGGAGGCGGATGTGCTCACATTGCATCCAATTCCATGACGAAGGAATACGATATGGGGAGTGGATGGGTGGGATAGGACAAAATCGATGTATCGGTCTTTCCAGCACATAGCGAACACTAAGGTAAGTGTCCGGGCAAATAGGGCGCGCGTGCCTTGAGCCAAAGGCAACGGCGCGCGAGCTATACTCCCGATTCTATATAACATCTCCCAAAAAGCTACCCTTAAAGTAGAGCCTGCTCTTATCCTCATCCTGGCAAGTTTGCCTGCATGGCATTCCCCCCCCCTCTGCCTCCGTTTCAGGCGACACTGAGTCGAAAATACGTGCAAACGAGTCCTGGCTGGCGTTGAGTCCAGATTTCGTTTCGGGCCCCGCGCGTCTCCCCCATCCCCCCTCCATGCAAGTCAACTTGCCAAAGTATGTTGCATCTTGACTCAAACGGATACGGAACTGTCAACAGTGCAAAGCTCCGTGCAGTATGGGGGGGATATTTGCCTGCACTTGATGACACCTCTGGGTGCTCAAGCATTCAACTCGATCCTCGTCCCTCCGCGTCCTCAACCCACCAACCCACTCCCATCTCCAGCAGCCAGAGCTGCCAAGGAAGCTCGGGAGGAGGATGGAGGAGGAGGAGGAAGAGGAGGAGGAGGGAACTCAATGGCCAGAGCTTGTCCAACGAAAAAGATGGAGGAAGAGGAGGAGGAGGAGGAGGAGGAGGAGGAGGAGGAGCAGCAACAGCAACAGCAGCATCAGCAGCAGCAACATCAACAGCAGCAGCAGCAGCTTGAGGAGCACCTGCCTTTCAACAAACTTCGCGGCGCCCTGGCCGATGGCCTGCCTCTCGGACCCGCTGGAGCCGGCCAAATCGACCACGATATAAAGGCGTGCGAGACTGAGCATCTGTCGGCATGCAGTTCTGGTAGAGGCCTCCACGTCCCACAGCTCAGACAGACATGTGTGTTCCACACGTTCATCGACCGCTCTCTTTTGGGCGGCCTGCCGGCGACTGCGGCGAGTGGCTCGGGACTGGCACCCTGTGTGCCTGATCTGGCCAGCCTTGCAATCACACGCGGCTACGTGGACGTCGGGGTGTGCTGAGCGGCACTCGATGCATTCAGTGTGAGAAGAACTCCACAGGCTGCCGCGATCATCGAAACCACGAACGAGAAAGGCCTGAACCCGCAGATATCGCAGCTGTATGGGGGATGCCGCTGACCAGCTTTTCTCAGAATCTCGTCGGCAGTGCACGTTGCAACTCCATGCAACCCTCTCCAGTTGCAGAGCGCACAGGCGTGCAACGACCCTGCGGCGCGAGGATCTCATCATCGGCGGCCGGCGGAAGAGAAGCTCAGCATCTCCTGGGGGAACAAAACAGATACGAAGCCTCTACCACTCAGACCTTCTCGGGGTGCATTCTGACCAGAATCCCGAGGCGAACCCAGAGATGGCGACGAGGGCCCCCCAGGAGGCCAACGAGGGCGGGAGCGAGGCAACGGCAGCGGCATCGGCACCCCTTCCTCCGCATCTCCTGCTGCAGCGAGGCCCTGGTCAGGCCCACCTCCAGGTGGGGCACGCTGCACGACGTCCACCTGGCTGGCGGGTTCCGGAAACCCTGAACAGGAAAACCTTGTCATCTCTTGGGATGCCGAATTTTACATCCGCTGGCTTCCGCTGGCCTTCCGCCGAGGAAGAGATGCCATCTCCTTCGACCCCTCGAAGGCGAGGCCCTTCCTGGAGTGCCCCGCCCAGGCATCATCCGATATGATTATTTCCACGCGTGGCCCCCCCGACCCCTTCTCTGGGGCCAGCTTTGGATCACGGGCCCCAGAACCCGACATCGAGGAAAGACGTCAGGACTGAACAACTAATTTCGTCGGAGATCTGGGCATCTGTCGCAGCGTCGTTTGCTCCCAACGCGCCCAAGAGGGCGACCCCGACACCACGGCACATCCCCGGCCGACCCCTCGCCCCGCGCTCAGGCAAACGACGCCGGCGCCGCGGCAAACCCCACGGCAGACGCACCGCGCCCGAGGCAGTGCTTGTCCCGGTGGCCGCGGCGCCCTCCCCAAGACGCAAGGCCGCGCGTCGGTACAACCGGCGCGGCGACATACAGTCGGGGCGTTGACCTAAGGAACCCTAAATAAGGAACGAGGCCCCTCTTTTCCATAAGTTAACCTTCGATTTCCTGTCGAAAACAGAAGGAAAGCCTGAGGCACGCCGTGAAACACTTGAGGAACGCGGAGCCCCTCCCCAACGAAAAGGGTTCCTTCTTCAGGGCCCCGACTGTATAGGCACTCGATCCTCGGAGGCGAGGCCGCTTCTGGAGCGCCTCGCCTCGCGGCGCCGCCCGGCGGCAGACGCAGCACGCGGAGGGCGGGGAGGCAGGCGCGCCGCAGCAGCCGCTCGGCGGCGGACCCCTCTGGCGGGCCGCAGGCGGAGGGCCACGGGCCCTCCGCCGCCCGCAGCAGCAGGCCAGCCGCGAGCTCGGGCACCGCCCGGATGATGTGCCGACGAGCCTCAGAACGTCCCCTGGGGCAACCAAGTTCGCGCCTCGCGCTCCGCGGAGCGCGATAAGCGCGACGAGCTTCGCGCCTCGCTCCAAAATCGCCACGCCTTGCAGCGCGAAGCGCGACGAACTTCGCGCTTTCATGGTGGCCCTAGGTCGCCAGGAGACTCCCAGATGGCCCAACCAGAGGCCCAAGAGAACCCCAGGGCGGGCCCCAAACATTCCCAAGCCGGCTCCGCCTGGCTGCCTGAGGGGCCCGTGGGCAGCCACGGGACAACCACGGGACACCGATATGACTGCCCACAAGCTTCACTTTTCAATCTACCGATCACATTATCAATTCAATACGCCAGCCGATCCCACGATCTGAATGTCGGTCAATCGACCGATCACACTATCGCTCTGCCAGTGGTGTGCCGCCTATCCTTGGAACATGTGCTGGTTAGCGGACCACCTCGCACGACTCCCACCCGGAGCCCGCGGCCGTCACGCTGCGCCTCAAGGCCTGCATGGTCTGAGAGCGCCGCCCGCTCCCCTCTACGGCCGCCCTCTGTCTCGCCCGCGCCTCTGTGTGGCAATAGATCCGTCGCATTGCGACCCAACCTAGGCCTCGACAGCGCCGCGCGATCGCCGGCGCCGCGAAAAAAAACTAGCTGGCGGACAGAGAACGGGACAAAACAAAGGTTTCTGCCATCGGGGACGTCTGTCCCACGGCGGCTGCGAAGCTTCTACTATACCCCTACGGTGGCACGTCGGTGCATAAGCTTTCCAGCCGCTCTGGGACAGGCGTCCCCGATGGCGGAAACGTATACTTCGTGCCGTTCTTCGTCCGCTAAGCTAGCACCAACATGCGCTTGTCCACCGGGGCCCCCCAGTATGGCGCAGGCGGCGCAACGGAGGCCGACACTGGCTGCGCGCCATCGGCACACGCTGGGCTCCAGCACGCGTCCTGAGGACCATCGAATGTGGCCGACCAGGTCCTGGCGCCCAGAGCCGGCGCACGCTGCGACGACAGCGCCGTAGGTGACCAAGCTGCAGGCAACGCGGGCCCGCACCATGCCCCCCAGCAGCTCGAGCGACGGGCGCCACTGCAGGCATGCCCCGCACGCGCTGATCGACGCGTTAAGCGCGATCGTGTTGACTGAGATGCCCTCGGCCCGCATCTCCTCGGGCAGTGCCAAGGGTGTCACCATTAGGGGGGTCACCACTTCCACCCCCCCTCCGCCCCCCCCTTATGGTCCCTCTCACCATCCACCCCCACCCGCCCGGTCACGCCGGTTATCGCCACGGGATAAAAATTGTTTTCTGGTAGTGACCCCCCCAGTGGTGACCCCCTTAGTAACCCCAGAACCTCGACTCCCAGGAGGAACTGGTGACCTCCCTTGGTGGTGACCCCACTTGTGGGGGCCTGGACATGGGCACCTACAACACAGTGGGGTGCCTCCACCGAAGGAAAAATTCTGGATGCCGGGGCGGGTGGACATCTCTCCGCCACCCAGGAAGCCCGAACATTGCAACTATCACTGAGATCAGGATCATCTTCCCTCGGTGGAGGCATCCACCGATACTGGCGTCAGCGCACACTCTCAATAGCGAATGGACCGAAGCCCCTGTTTGACACCAAAAGATCCTGGGTGCTCCAGGAGGGCTGAAGGAACAACCACGAATGACCCAATGCACAGCGAGCCCCTTCCGAATCCAAAGTGGTCCTTCTTTCCGCGTCTTGACTGTGGGCCTCCGACCCTGGCCGGCACCCTGTCGGTCATGGGCGGCATGTTCCTGGCTTGACCTGACAGCCGCGCCTCTGACTGCGGCTCTCTTTCCCTGTGTACGTGGCACCTTGGACTGCCACGGCCTGGGCCTCTCATGCATCCTGTTCGGTGGCACAACGCTGCACTCCGGCCCAGCGGTGCTCCTCACCCTCTCGGGCGTCGCCCTGGATACGTGGTGCGTCCTCTCCCGCCGTCCCTTGAGGCTGGTGTACATGAAGCGCCGCTGACGGCACCACCATGACAGCATTTTGCTTTTCTGGTACTTCGCCTCCGGGTTACTGTACAAGGCGCTCCTTTGCATGAACTTCGCCTTCGGCACCGCCTGATTCCGGGGCTTTGCCTTCTCCTGGCCTTGACGTGAGGCCCCTCCTTCTGCCTCCCCCCCCTGTCAATTATAAAGCTGTGCGCGGCCCGCTAAGCTTCGACCGGAAGAGGCTCGCTCTCGACCCGCGGATCAAAAAAGCTGTGGTCCTCCGACCCTTGGCAGTTCCCGCATCTCCAGCAGGGCCCCCACCGCCAGCTCCCACTGCGCGCCCCTGTGCAGCGCGCTGGCCGCCGCGCCGTACGTCACCACGGACGGCGGGGAGCCCTGCGCCCGCACCTCCCCGAACAGGGCGACCGCCTCCTGCCAGTGCCATCCCACCTCTGGGGTCCTCCCAAGTGGGGTCTTAGCAGGTGGGGTCGGAGGATCGCGCCGCATCGGCGATGCATCGGCGATGCATCGGTGATGCATCGGCGACGTCGGCGATGCGTCGGCGCCGTCCGCGTGGAGAAAGTCGGGCTTCTGCACAAAGGAGCAAAAAGCCTCATAAACCGAAACGTTCTGAGCTCCGAAAGCGTTTGCTTGTGCCGATGTTTGCTCCTCGATCCCTGCCAATGTCGGCCCACCTCGCAGGCCGATGCATCGGCGATGCGGCGCGGTCCTCCGACGCAGCCTGCTCGGACATCCTTCGGGAGGTCCGGAGCCTCGCAGGCCGAGATGGCGGTGGTCAGCGCGACGGAGTTCGGCGCGGCCTGGCCGCGCCGGAGCTCCGCCAGCGCCGCGAGCGCGTGCTCCCACCTGCGGCCCTTCTCGCACGCGCTCATCGCGGCGGCGTGCGCCGCCGCGTCCGGGGCGAGGCGGAGGCCCCGCATGTGCTGCAGCAGGCTCACGGCGCGCTGCCACTGCTGGCCCTGGTCGCACGCGTTGACGACCTGCTTTAGCCACCGCGGAGGTTGCTAAGGGTTTCTCCAGATTTCGTAACAAAGGGAGGGGGGGTTCATTTCGGGGGGGGGTCTCTTCCAGGCTATCTTGGAGGGCCTGGGGGGGTCTGGGGACGATGTTTTGGAGGGTTCTCCCGTGGGGGAGGTCTGAAATGGCTTGTCTTGGAGGGTCCAGACCCCCTCCCTTTTATTACGAAATCTGGAGTACATATGGATTGACCTTGCCTGCAACTGGGTTACAAATGCCCCACGTGGCCCAAACGGGGTTTGTAACTCCGCTGCGTAGGCTCCGCCAACTTAGCCCAGATAGATGCCCCCCTTAGCCACCTACGGCACGTGGAACCCATTCAAATGCTAGGTTAGGCCAGATATACTCCACCTTAGCATCCACTTAGAGCCCCCCTAACCGCTTAGCAACTCTCGCGTTGACCCAAGCAGAGGCACAACAAACTTTATAAACATCAACTTTCGGATGGATCGGCGCTGGGCTTCCCTTGCGGCGCCTCTGGCGCCGACCCTGGCGCGTTCCGCGCGGCAGGGAGGGAAGTCCAGCGCCGGTCCAAGAAATCCGCGAAGATCTCCAACAGTCTATGTTTATGCCAATGTTCCTTCTTCGACGACCGCGCCGTAAGCGGCGGTGTTGGCAGACACGCGGCCCAGGCGCATCTGATCCAGGCAGTCTAGGGCGTGCTGCCAGCGCAGGCCCCGCCCGCACGCATTGATTGCGGCACCGTAGCTCCCCGCGTCCGGCTTGAGGCCCCCAGAGGAGCACCACCTGAGCGCCTCCAGGGCACACTGCCACTGCCGGCCCTTGTCGAGGGCACTGATGGCGGCGTTGTAGGCGATGACGTCTGGCCTGAGTGCCATGCCTGGAGGGACAGGGAAACTGCCTAAACAGAAACCAGTAACCAGAGCTCAGCGCGAATATCTTGGACTGGCGTTGGGCCCCCTTCCCTGGCCCCCTTCCCTGGCCCCCTTCCGCCAGAGGCGCCGCCAGGGGGGCCTCAACCCAGATCCGAGAAATCCGCGCGGAACTCCGAAAGTTTGTGCTTATGCCGTTGAGGATGATTCTCGAATACCGGGGGATTCCACCAGGAGCGACAGCGCGTGCTCCTGAGGGGCCACGTTTAAGGGGGGAAGTTCGGGGGGGGGAACACCGGCCTGAAATCGGCGATACGGCGCCGAGAGCTCGGCGATAGGCCCCCGATGGCGAATCCGCACGTTCCTGGGCGGCGTGGGCCATCGGGCGCCCATCGGCGATCAATCGACGATTGGGCTCGAGAGGAGGTCGAGGCATCCCCCCCTGGGCCCATCCCCCCCTGAGATCCTCGTGGTCTGATCCTCGGCTCCTTACTCAGGTCTCTGGCGGCCGCTCGCAAGGACCCCGGGCACCCCCAGAATGCTCTCGACAAGACGTAGCCCCTGGAAGGCATCCCGAGGCTGGAAAAGCGCTGGGAACCACCGAGAATGAAAACAACTCGAACACACACGCACACACAATCCACTGTTCATACGATACGACGTCCGAGACTTCTTCATGTCTGGAGGTATCAACGAAAACGTGCAAGGTGCTGTCGCTGTTACGCCCCAGGCTCTTGGGGAGATCATGGGCGATGCGGCAAGGAACCAGTACGTCCAGTCCAGATTCTACGATGGCAGACTTTGGCAGGTTAAGGTTGGTTCTGGGATGGGGATGACCTTCTTTGAGGATTTGTCTGACGCGGGGTCCCACCACAATGTGGAGCATTCTAGAGTGAATGATCGGGTCTGGATGTCCAGCAGGGGGATTATGTTGTACGTAAGGTTCAAAGTTGACATCCTGATCATCACTGAGAGGAGTCTCGCGCCTTTTCTGGCATGTGCATGATTGACTTGTGACAAGCAATCGTAGCAACTTCAGTGTAAGTGAGAGAAAACCGCCGGAAACTGAAACACACACGCAACACACACACACACACACACACCAAAACGTAACCCCGAACGCCCCCTAACGTCGCCCCTGAGCCTATCCCCCCCTAACGTCGCCCCTGCGCTCCCAACGGCTGGCCCGCTCGCAGGCGCTCAGCGCCGCGCCGAGGGTGATCACGTTGGGTGCGGGCCCGCTGCGCCACATCTCCGCTAGGAGGTGCAGGGCCCGAACCCACTGCCCGCCTTTCTCGAGCGCGCTGAGGACGCTACTGCACAGGACCTGAGGGGGGACGTGAGGGGGAGACTGGCTCGTCAAGGCTCGAGGTTCGAGATTTTCGAGGTTCGAGATTGCCGGACGCTCCCGTAAATCGCCGGCGGTCTCCTAGCCGCGAGATGCCTTCCAGCGGCTGCGCCTCGCCGGGAGACTTCTGGGGGTGCCCGGATCGTCCTGAACGGCCGCCGAATCGAAGGCCCGAGTTATTCGGGTCGGGCGAAAGAAGGGGATAGCAAAGGGGGGGTTTGAGAATCAGCTCACATAGCTGATTTTCCCGGCGCCTCCCGGCGCCGGGAGGCGCCCATGTATCGAGGAATGGGCCCCTCGGTGAGGCCGAAATCAGCTGCATGCAACAGATTTCGTAACCCCCCCTTTCCCAATCCCCCCCTTTCGCCCCGCCCGAGTTATGAACCGACAAGCACCAGGGTACTGGCTTAGGGTGGGGGGAAACATCGACCTGGAATCGGCGACACGTCGCCGATAGATCGGCGATAGGCCCCTGATAGCGAATCCGCACGTTCATGGGCGGCGTGGGCCATCGGGCGAACATCAGCGATCACTGGGCGATTCGGGGTCGATGCATCCCCTCCTGAGCCCATCCCCCCCTGACGTTGCCCCTGAAGACCACGTCAGGCGCGGGGCCATGCTCCACTGCCATCCGGAGCACCTCCAAGGCCAGTGCCCACTGGGCTCCTCTCGGGCCGGACGCAAGAGGGAGGAGGGTAGCGAATCCGCCAACCTGGCTGGTTTCTCCCGAGGCCGGGAGGCACCGATGCATCCAGGCAACCAAGGAGCCTGGCGGCGGGACCGAAACTTGGGGGGCGAAAGGATACGGATACGTGTTGTCCCCGGACCTCTCTTGGGGTGCGTTCTGAGCAGAATTTCGAGGCGAATCCAGCGGTGACAACGAGGATTCCCCAGGAGGGCCAGGAAAGGCCGAAAACGAAGGGGGACAACACGTATCCGTATCTTTTTCTCCCCCGAGAAACCACTCCTTTCCCAATCCCTCGTCGCCTGGTTTTCGGGCCACAGCTCGGAGCTCCCGCGGCCATAACTCGGACCATCCGGGCACCCCTGGAGCGCTCTCGGCGATGCGCAGCGGCTGCAGAGCACCCCGAGAGTGGAGGACCGTCGGGAACCGTCGGGAGCGCCTAAAAACCTTACTCCAGATTTCGTAATAAAAGGGAGGGGGTCTGGACCCTCCAAGACAAGCCATTTCAGACCCCCCCCGTGGGAGAACCCTCCAAAACACCATCCCCAGACCCCCCCAGGCCCTCCAAGATATCCTGGAGACTCCCCCCGAAATTACCCCCCTCCCTTTATTACGAAATCTGGAGTAAACGTCGAACCGCGTTTCCTCATCTCGCCACAGGCTTAACGGCTCCTCCCGTCCCTCGCCTCGGGCTGGAGCGGCCACGAGCTGTTCCAGACGTCCCTGGAGATCTCTGGATGTACCTGACTTCCAGGGCTCCCTTGGATTTGCCAGGACTCACATGAGCTTACCTCGATCGAACCGCATTCGCCTTGATTCGTTCCGCATAACGTCCACAAGTCAAGGGGCGAGCAGTCGTCAAGCCATCAGGGACTGTTCCCTCCTTCCGTCAGACCCGATCCCCTCTCGCAGGCAGCTGCCACGGCGCCGTAGCCGCGGACGTCCGGCCTCGCGCCGGAGAGCAGCAGGTCCCGCAGCAGGCCGAGGGCCCGGCCCGGCTGGGAGCCACCCGCGCAGGCGCTCGCCGCGACGCCCAGCGTGAGGGCGTTCGGGTGGCACTCGCGCCCCCGCATGGCGGCGAGCAGCAACAGCACCTGCTTGGATCGGCGCGGGGGGGGTCCAGGGGCGGATTCCAAGCTGGGGGATAGCTGGCCTAGCCTATAGCTATGTGAGAGGGCACGAGCGGGCTGCGAGTGACCTATAAGCGACTGAGGGGGCAAATCTCTAGGCTAAATGGGCGGAGCCCACTTGGCGGAGTTGCCTACCCTCTTGAATCCCTTGCCGCGCCCCCGCATGGGGACGACCAGCAGCAGCACCTACAAAGTAATGCAAGTTTGATCGTCGATATATGTGTTCATCGTCTTCGGCTTCTCATCGTTGTTGGCCTCTGAGGGGCGTTTTCGGGCCCCAGGACCGTCAGAAACGGAGCTGGATGAAGAAAACTGTCCCAGGGAAATCCTCCGGATGGCGACGAGCAGCAGTAGCACCTACGTAGGAGGAGGAGGAAAATCCCAGATCTCCGACGATACGATTTTTTCGATCTGGGCGTCTCTCTTGGATTTCGGCCCCTGGGGCCTGTTATCGGGCCCTGGGGCCATCAGAAAAAGCACCAGGGGCGAAAAACTGCCCCAGGGGAAGGTGACGGGAACTGTGGGGCTGCGCATTGTAAGATCGTATCGCAGGATGTCTGGGGGTGCAAAACCAATACGATTTTCGGGGCCCACACGGATTCCTTGGATCGGCGCCGCAGGCGGCGCTGTTGGACAAGCTCCGATCCGAGAAGACCGACGGCTCTGCGACGGCCAATTCTGCGGGAGCCTCCCGGACGCAGAGGGGAGGAACTGAGCTGATGTTCGCAAGGGTTCCTCTTACAACTCTATCTCGCCATCGCTCGGACGTCCATTCCCTGTGCTTTTTTTCGGTTTTGTGCGTGGTTTTTTCGCCAAATGATCAAGGATGCTCCTCGATGGTCCTCGCCGAAGGAAAAATGCACACGTCCGAGCGATGCCAAGTTATATACAACAATGGTGTTCTGGTGCACATGGTTGCTGTGGTGCACACAGGCGCCGTGGTGTACACGTGCGCTGTGATGCACGCGGGCGCTGTCTGGTACTGTGATGCACACGGCTGATGTTGTGTACGCGGGCGCTGTGGTGTACACAAGCGTTGTGGTGCACGCAGGCGCTGTGGCACACACCGGCGCTGTGTTGCACGCGGCTGCTGTGGTGTACATGGGTGGCGCGGTGTACAGAGGCGCTGTGGTGCACGCAGGCAATGTGGTGTACACTGTACACAGGCGCTGTGGTGCAAATCGCCACCTACATGCTGCTGCTACCCGTCCTCGGTCATCCCTAGGCATTCCCAGACGCCGCGGGCGCGAAACGTGACGTCATCGGCCCCCTCCACCCCCCCAAGATGACGGCAATCATCGACACGGAATACAAAAAACAGGTCCCTGCAGAAGGATGAACATATGCTATGCGTTTGGGGGCCCGCGCGAACCTCCGAAAGCTCCCCGCCCTATAGATCGAGGTCGTTAGATTGCAAGAAAAGTGCCCCCGACCCGCCTTGCACACCGTGCAAACCTCCTAGCACCAGGGAAAGCGGGTCCCGAAGGAAACGGGTCCTGCGCCCTGGGGCGTTCCCCGAAAACGAGATCTTCATTCTCATTTTGGGGCCCGCGGAGGGCACGTGGAGGGCCCCCGAAGCCCGAAAACGACGAGAAACCTCAGGACCCGTTTTTCTCAGGACCCGTTTCACCTTCATGACTGAAGGGAAACTGGGACACACAAATAAATACACACAAATAAAAAGATTCCCCATATTTTCGTATAGTTTCTTGGGTTTTGTCTTCCCCACCACTTCCCATATTTTCCCATATTTTCCTCGGGATCGACGATTAATTGTGTCTGTGTGTTTTTTCCCCTCCTGAATGACGAACCGCGGCCGCCAGGCCCAAAGTGTGTCGGTGCTCCCTGGGTATCCCGTCTCGTGCCCTCGACGAGTGACGGCTGCGTGCCGCGGCCGCCAGGCCCCGAGGGTGCCCGCGCTCCCTGGGGATCCCGCCTCGCGCTCTCGGGCGGGGACCGCCCGAAACAAGGTACCTTGTGTGAGTTTGCTGAAATTTGCGCGCTCGCGGCGAAGCTCTTTCACCTATGAGTGCCCTTCTGATCCCTCCGCGGCCGCCTTGCCTTCCCGCGCCCCCTCTCCTGCATCCAGGAAATCCGCTTGTCGTGTGCCCCCGGCTACTGCAAGCCCACGTGCGGGTTGCCCCTGCCGTGCTGCGACGAACAAGCTCAGGTTTCTTTCTGCGCGGATGCTCATTTGGGAATTCACGTCTTGGTGGTCAGTGCAATGGTGGATACTGCTGCCTGCCTACGCAATTACAAGCTACCAGACCAAAGTTAACCACGATGTCGGAATCGGCATGGTGGTTGGCCAGTTTCGCCAACGGTCAACGCAGGACCCCCGCCCCGCCAACCAGCAATTTGGACTACGAAATGGTACTTGGGACTACTTCCATCTGTTTCTTACAACAATTCAGTCGAAGATGGTTCAGAACAGCTTCCGACATGCCTCCAAGAGACCCCAAGAGGGCCTCAAGACGGAAACAAGTGCTCTAGCTGACCCCGCAGGACCACCCAAAAGCACAAAATCCTCCGAACATGTGTACCTTCTCGCCTTTTCGCTTGCGATGCGCTTTCAAGGCCTCAAGATGGCTCCAAGATGGCCCAAGAGAGGCCCAAGAGGGGTCCAAGAGGCCTCCACGACCGCCCCAAGAGCGCCCACGAGCGCCCCGAGAGGGCCCCAAGGGGGCCCCAAGAGGTGATTTGAAGAGCCCCAGAGGGGATACCTGGATCGGGGACCCCCTCTCCTTCAGATCGATGGCCTCCAAGACGGACCAAGGAGGCCCTCCATGGCTCCCAAGCGGGCCCCAAGAGAGCCCCAAGAAGACCCAAAGAGAGCCCAAAGACCCCCCTCAGAAAAGCCCCGAAGGACCCAAAGACCGAAGAGGGCCCCAAACGAGCCACGAGAGATCCTCCAGAAGACTCCAAGATGGCTGCCAGAGTCCTCGCCCGCCTCTTCCCCCTTCTTCTCATGCTTCGTCCGAGCTATCCTCGTCCTTCACCTCCTTTTCCTCCTCGTCGCCCTCCCCCATCGTCATCTTTCTTCGTCCTCGTCCTGTTCGTCCTCCTCCTTCTCCTCGTCCTCGTCTTCGTCCTCCTCCTCGTTATCGTCCTCATCGATATTGTGCCCCTCCTCCTCCTCATCCTCCTCGTCCTATCCACACCTTCAATAGATGGCTCCATGGATACTCGTCCCCGTCCTCCTCATCATCCTCCTCGTCCACCTCCTCCTTCTCGTCCTCGTCCTCGTCCTTGCCCTCATCGTCTTCCTCTTCCTTTTCCTCATTCTCCCTCCTCCTCCTCCTCCTTCTCCTCCTTCTCCTCCTTCTCCTCCTTCTCCTCACCTTGCCCCCACGTGGGCCCCAGGGATGGCCCGAAGAAGAACTCCAAGGCCCCCCTGTGCTCCCATATTTTTTGTCTGTTCACCCGGGTTGCCCCCTTCGTTACACTATATGCGCCTCATCGTCCCTTCTACTGTCAGCTCTCATGGGCAGGGTCTCTGAATGGGCTGGTGGGCATACTTTTTTGATCGCGACCGCGAGCGGGCACCCGCGCGGCGTCTTCAAGTCAAGCGAAATGCTAAGCCGTGCAAGTGCAAGGCAGCGGAAAAAGTACAGGGCCACTACGGGCTGGTGGGCATACGCTAGTCGATCTCCTACTCGAAACGTGAAGAATTTTACCTCTCCTTCGAGCACCTTCTCCCAACATCTGGACGACGATAAGCAGCCGACCATCGTGTTGAAGGTCACGACGTTCGGCCGCCGCCCGGCGGCCTCCATCTCGCCCATGAGGTGCAGCGCGCCCTGCTGGTAAAGAGGCCCAGGGAGACACAACATCTTTGCCCACATCTTGATGGAAATCGACTTGTATTTTTGTCTGTGTCTATTTTCTCCTTCTGAGCTGGGAGGGGACGTGAGGGGGAAGACCGGCTCAGGGGGAGATTCATCGATGTATCGACCTGGACTTGGCACGCCCCTCTTTCCATGCAGTGAATTCGGCCGAGTCTGAAGAAAGACTGCTTTACGGCATTTCATCATTTGCGGCATCATGGGCTCTCAACGTGCAGGAATCGGTCTGGGACGAAAAGCCGGTCTTCGGGAAGGGGTCCAGACCTCAAGGGCCCACGTTGTGCAAATTAGCCTGGCGAAGAACCCGACCACATGCAGTTGTGAATGCCGCAATTGCGAATACTGTTTGAGGTGGAACTCCCCGCATGCGGGCTGTGTCGAGTTCCCTGTGGAACCAAAAAACGGGTGAGGGATGTGCCGAAACGGGGCTGTCGCCCACAATGCGGGCTGCGCCACTGGACCTGTAGGAGGAGTTCCCTGTGAGGCCACGGAACGTCAGAGGGGTGTGCCGACATGGGTGGCGCGGGCGCATGTGGGCACCGCCTCCGGGGCTTTCTTTGGAGCGCTCTATGGAGCCACTAAACGTGTGAGGCGTGTGCCAACATGGCTGGCGCGGATGCACGTGGGCACCGCCACTGGGGCATTCGGTGGAGCTCCCTATGGGGCCACAAAGCGTCCGAGGGTTGCGCCGACATGGGTGGCGCGGACGCATGTGGGCACCGCCACAATGGCCTTCGGTGGAGATCACTATGGGGCCGCGAAACGTGTGACGGGTGTGCCGAAACATGTGGCGCCGACGCATGTGTCATCCTAGGAGATGTAGCAGGAGCGCTAAGTGAACATAATTACGTCTGTAAACAGATGTTCGGAATTTTGCGCCGAGCGTTTGAAAAAAATGGTTAATCGCACGCGCGCGGCCGAATGCGTCGCCTCCCCGGCCATACTCCAACGCATGCGCTCGATGATGGCACCTAGGCCCATGTGGCGGTTTTCGCTTGGTTTGACGCGTGTCCGAACGATGCTCAGCCATGTGTTGGGTGGCCAGTTGCCGACGCTTCGCGCATCCCCACCAGCCCATCCAGAATCAATCGACAGGAGAGCTCCACTGACCAGGGATGCGTAGCAACATGCACTCACAGTCTGGGATCCTTTCGAAGGCATCTTGGGGCTACGGGGCCCTCTTGGCCAGTTTGCAAACCTTGTGGGCCCTCCTGGGGCCCTCCTGGGGCCCTCTTGGGCTCTGTTGGGGATTCCGGGGGGCTTATAGCGGCCTCTTTGGGGCCATCTTGGAGGCCGTCGATCCAAAACGGGGGGTGGCCCACCCCGCCCCTCGGAAGCAGAAGAATGGCCTCTTGGGGCCCCATTGAGGCGCTCTTGGGGCGCTCTTCGGCACATTCACGGCCGCCTTGCGCGCCTCTCGGGGCTCGGTCGGGCCATCCTGAAGGCATCTCGACGCTCCGTGAAGCCAATCTGAACCGAAAGGCGATCATTTGACCGATCCTGTATCTTCACGTTGCGTTTGAATGATGATGGCCTCTCGGGGGCGTCCCTGGGAGGATCCGCGGCCACTCGGGGCCGCTTTCGGGCGGCACTGAAGCTTCTCGGAGGCATGCTGGAAGCTGTATGGAACCATCGCGGGATGTTTATTATTATTATTATTATCATTATTATTATTATGATTATTAGTAGTATACTATGTATTTATGTATTTATGTATTTATTTATGTATTTATTTATTTAGTTATTTTTTCACAAAAAAAAAAAAAACATCGCGGGATGTACTACACGATGTCGGAGGCCATCCCTGGCCAGCCCGGGCCCCCATATAAAGCCCTCTTCTGGCCAACTTGGACCCTCCAGCGACCCGCGGAACGCCCCCTCCAGACCCAGGGAGACGGGGTAGGAGGAGAGTCAGACCTCCCCCCCGAGAGAAGGAGGAGATTAGAAGCACTAATTCGCTGAACAACCTAGGCCCGAAAAGCTTGCGGGATTTGGTTGTTAGTGTGCGTAACGGTCTCATATTGTTTTCCTCGTCTGCATCCTTCTCCTTCCCCCCTTCCTCCTTTTGACGTCGGAACCACGATGCCGCCAAACTGGCCCCTGGCGTCTGGGAGAGAAGTTGCCGCGCCCGCATGCGGCATCGGACGCATGATGCCGCCTCGCACGCGTTCGTCTCTGTTTGTACTTCCTTGTTTGTTCCACCCACACTGTCTTCCCCGTGCGCCGAGGAGTTGGCGCATCCGCCCAGACCCCGACCCCTCGCCGGCGACCTGCCAGGGGCGCTGGGCGAACGGGGCCTGGCCAGCTGCGCTCGGGGGCCGGATTGCTCCCCTGGCTCGGGAACATCCACCGCCGTCGGCACTGGGGCCGCTGCGGTGTGAAAATATTGCCCCTTGGGCTGGTGGAAAACTGTGCAAAAACTTGTGTGAAATGTTGTGTGACAACGGTGGTGAAACAACGATGGAAAAATCGGCTCCCGTTCAGCTCGGCGGGTCCTTTTTTTCAGCGAAAATCTTCATCCTCTCAAAGTTTCAACCCACTAACTACGGGTGCCGTTGTTCAACATACGGCGGGTTCCATTCTTAAGATTCACGACGGGCTCACTTTTTCAACTGACTGCGGGGGCCTCTAGGAACGAATTCTCCTGAGTTCAGGGAGGTAGACAGAAAACGATTAGGTCGCCTGTTTCGGATCACGGGGACAATCACCGGATGTTCGCCACGCGCGCGCAGAATGCCTTAACGAGGGGCGGGTCTGGGCAGATGCGCCGACCTGTCGGTCCACTCTGGCTTCCCGGCACCAGGGATCAGATGGGGAGGACGACGGGGGTGGAAAAACAGGAAAAAACGAGCACGGACGAGGGCCTTCGAGGTGGCATCCTGCCTCCGACGCCGCAGGTGCAGGCAGCAACTCCCACGCTCCGACGCCAGGGGCGAGATTGGCGGCATCGTGGTTCCGACGCAAAAAGGAAGAGGGGAGGGAGGAGAAGGAGGCAGACGGGACAAACAAACAGGAATTCGCCATGCAAAATTGCATACACTTGCAGCCGAATCCACCAGCCCTTCTGGGAGTAGGTGGTTTAGCGACTGAGTGCCTCCAACCTCCTCCTTCTCTCGGGGGGGGGCCTCTCCTCCTACCCCTTCCCCCTGGGTCTGGAGGGAGCGTTCCGTGGGTCGTTGGGTGGTCCAGGGTGGTCCCCAGACGGCCCCAAGGGGGCCCCAGCTAACCAAAGATGGACTCCAAGATCGCATAATATAGCTCAATATTGTTGACGACATCTTCAAGTGGCCACGGAGTCACGGAGCCTCCCAAGGACACCCCCGAGAGGCCAGAATCAGTCAGAAATCAATGGAAGTGAAGGTGTGATGGTCTTCTCGCCTTTTCGCCTCCGATGGGCGCTTGAGGATTCAAGACGGCTGCAAGATGGCCCAAGCTAACCTCAGGAGCGGCACGGGGGGGGGCCCAAAACGGCCTCAAGAGCGCCCAAAAGCGCCTCAACATGGCTCCAAAAGAAATTGATTCGGCCTCCGAGGGGGGGGGGGGGCGCAATTGGCGACACTCCTTCTCTGATCGATGACCTCGATGGCGCCATGTCGCCCCTCAAGACGCCCACGAAAGCCCAAGACAACCCTATGAGGGCCCTAAGAGAACCCTAAAGGCATCCAACATGGCCCCAAAAAGGCTCCAAGAGGGCCGCGAGGCGTGATTGCATGCTGCTCCGCATCCCTGGTCAGGGCAATTCGCCTGGTAATGATGTTTGGACGGGCTGGTCGGATTTTTTTGATCGCGAGCGACGCAGGCAGCTGCGCGCCGTCGAGGTAGCCAGACGACAGGCCAACCTAACAGGACAGGCGGAAAAGGGCCACAACGGTGGCGCGAACTACGCGACGGAGGAGAAACGAACGAGAGCACGCAGAGGGCGAGGCGACGAAGAGCAAGAGGTCGAAAGAGCAAGGACCAGCAAAAACGAGGGCGCACAATAAGAAGGATAACGAGAGGCGAAAAGAGACACGGCGGAGAAGACGGGCGCGCCGGAGCTCAGGATCAGGCAACGTCGAGGACGAAGCTCGCTGGTAGGAGTACGTTTTTTGGTCAGCGGCTCCGAGGCAACGGTCAGGGAGCGGAAGCGGCGCCCGGGCTGCGGTACGGGGCTAATTAGCTACAACAGGCACAGGCCGGACAGCCCGCCCACAAAGCAACCGCGAAGCTGAAGAGGAGCCGACGCAGCAGGTGACCTGACCCTGAGAGCTCGTGCACGCGCACAGACAAGATGTCATGACATTCGGTGCCAGCCACAGTCTGAAACGCGAACCGGGCATCCAAGCCCGTCGAGAGACAGAACCAGGATGACCAGGTCCGTCAATCTGAATGGAGGCAAGTGGGAGGCCGGTGGAGTGAGTCGCCTGTGGGGCGCCAGACTCCAAAAGCCCGCGACGACGTCTGCAAGCCAGGGGGGCAGCTGTTGCGGAAATTGGCGCAACGCACTTGCCGGAAGCTGGTGGGCGAGCCTGGGCTGCTGTACCTGCTGCGGAAGGCCGAACCACTCCGTGGCGACCCAACACCCGAGAGACCACCCCATAGTGCATGGGGGAACCAAGCGACTGTGGGCCACGCAGCGCGCGCCGGCACGGCGCAAGGCCTCAGTGAGGGGGGAGGGCCCGCAGGCGTGGGGAGCATCGCCAGCGGGGGGAGTGAGGGGGGGCGGCACTGGTGGTAGCGCTGCCTTCTGCGGTGTCATTAGGCGAAGCGCCTGGGGGAGCTGCACTGCGGAGGACACGGGGGCCAGGAGGCAAGTCTGGCCCGGTCCGCCGCCTGGCACTGCCCCCCAGACCCGCGACGCTACACGCGCCACGAGATCCTCCAGGGCCGAAGCAAACGCCGCTGAGAGTGATGAGCCAGACCACGAGTAGCGCGGAACACGGGCGGCCCTGGGAGGGGGGGGAACCACCCCGACG